TGACATCACCAGCTCAGAGCCAGCCAAATCCGTCCACTCAGGCTTTGCCCTGCTGGCGTCAGTGGGAACCGGAGCTGGAGGATTACCCCGGAGGCCACACCTGACATGAGGAGGACTCCCACCCTTCAGTGAAGTCTCCACCTTGTGTGGTGTGTCCAGGGAACCCCTTTTCTCTAGGGTGTGCTCTGTACTTCTCTTGGACGGCACTGGAGGGGAAGGCATCTGACGTCACCTTCAACATCAGAGCTTTCCTCCTCCACAAGAGCTCCACAGAGGCCCGAGTAGAAAATGGCTCATTTCCCAGGTTATTAGGTAATGAAAGATCACTTTTTAAGATTCTTTTAAAAATCTTTTTAAAATTATTTGCATATGTGTGTGCATATGGTATATGCAGATAAGTTCAGGAGCTCACAGAGGACAAAATCAGAGGCACTTGGACACCCCTGGACACAATGGTATAGGCAGTTGTGTATTGCCTGATGTGAATGCTGAGAACTTACCTCGGGTCTTCATGAAAAGCAATGTGCACTGTTAACCAAAGCCATCTTTCCAGCCCCAATGATATAAGATTTAAACCCTCCTTAACTGGCAATTAATCTGTCACTTTGCTTGCTGTCAACATAAAGCAGAAATCACGGAAAGACTTACAGATAAAACTCTAATGAACACGACGTGACCCCAAGCAACTGACGAACAGAAACATCCTGTAGGTTATGCTTGCCCAGCTGTGATTTTTGGCACTGCAGTCAAAACACACCTGAAAGAAAAATGTTACATATTGCTAATAAATAATATTAGCAGGTTGTGTTATCTTATACAGCACAGTACACAACTAGCTTAACAGCTGTCTAACATTCACAATTTAAATTTTGATAGTTAGGAACCCAACCTATTCGCTTGGTACTGTGGCAGCAGGCTAAGCTAGGTGTAGCCTTCCTCCCATTCTCTGCCTGTTGTTTATCCCTGTGCCACCGTCCTGGAAGGCCATTATCTTTTACCAGTGACTTCCGGACTCCAGCCATCACTGCTGCATCTCCAAGATGGCTATGCCCTGATCAGGCAAGTCAAGGGCTGCTGCAGGTCTGACATGCTAACAAGCAGGCCATGGCTGATAAACAGTACAGAGGTGCCATGGGCTACACTATCTACGCCTCCAAAGAGCAGGATGTACTGTTTTTCTAGCCTGGCAACCTGGACTCACTTTGGAGACCAGACTGGCCTTGAACTCAGAGAACAAAGCTTTGACATCTCTGTTCAGAGTACGATAACATACTGTATGGCGTACTTTAGTAGATACAGCATAGCTGAGGGCATTCTGCCTGATCCAAGAACACAGACATACCTCATCAGTCAGATGGTCACACAGACGGTCACGGCCAGTGTCCCCTCCCCTCTTCCTCACAATGGGGTTGGATCCTCGTGTAGTCTAAGGAGCTCAGATCTTACATACGGGCAGTATCTGAGATTACACAGGCACTGTCAACTGTTGTTAGAGGAAGTTTTTGCTTGAAACAATGTCTCGCTCTGTAACTTAGGCCAACCTGAAACTTCCTATTTGGTCCGAATTGGCCTTAAACTTGTGGCAGTACTTCTGCCCCTCACATACAGGCTCTCGGGCGTGAGTCTTCTCTCCTCTGCACTAACCATTTGGCCCCATCAACCCCCACCTCTTGTGCCAGGATGGTCTGTGTGACCAGTCAAATACGGCAAACTGTACAGCACACCACTTTCAAGATTCGGTTATAAGAGGCACCACTGTAAACTGGGGGAGGGGGGGGTGGCCCCCGCCTTTAATCCCAACACTCAGGAGGCAGAGGCAGGCGGATCTCTGTGAGTCCGAGGCCAGCCTGGTCTACAAAGTGAGTCCAGGTCAGCCAAGGCTACAAACTCCCAGCGCTCAGGAAGCAAGAGGCAGGAAGATTGGTATTGGTCGCTCAAGGCCAGGTTGGTCAGCCTAGGGAGACGCTCCCTTGAAAAAGAAATCCTGACCTCTCTCTACAGCGGGTCACTACTTAACAATCGTGTGTTAAGGACACCTGGACAGCCCCGCGTAGAAACTCCAGTGACAAGGAACTGGGTGCCGCGCTAGCTACAGGGGAGCGCGACGAGCCGCGCCATCCAAGTGAGGTGCTGTTACTACTCTTCTCGTGACACCAACCAAATGCCGAATCACCCCAGGCAGACACCAATCACAGCCAGGGGCTCGATTTCACCGAACTCGGCGAGACCAGTGAGCGTACCGGACATCTACGGAGCCATCACTCACCGGCGTGGGCGAACAGCCGGGGAAGTCACTCAGAACCCACGCGGGCGGATTCGACCGTTGGCGAACCGGGCGGCTCCTCCTCCCACGTCCGCCGAGGGGTCCCGGGCTCGCCAGGCGGCCGCTACCTGGTTGCTAAGCAACATGCGCAGGCGGTGGAAGATGACCAGGATGTCCTGATTGCCCGTGTCCCCCACGGCCACCCGCGGATCGAGAGGCATCGCGCCGCGACCGGGCAGGACGTCCAAAGGAGAACTGAAAACTAGTCGCCTCAGAGCGACCAACTGCCGGCCGCGCGCCCGGGCCGCGCGTCGAAGTAGGCTCCCGACAACGCCCCGCCCACCACGCCCCGCCCACACCGGGGCACCAGCCACTCTCCTTCCGCCTCTCACGCTGGCCGCTCTAGCCCCGCCCCAAGCCCCGCCCCCCGGCGTTGCCTGAGTGCTCCTGGTTCTATAGGTCACTTCACTACTGCTGGTTTGGCCCGGAGACGGTGCTCAAGTGCGCCTGCGCGAGGCGCCTCGGCTTCCCCGGGACTCTCTTTAAGTCTTTGCAAAAGCCAAACCCTGAATCTGTGGTATAAAATCGTTTGTTGTTGTTTTCTAGAAAAATTTGTTTTCTGCTCCTGAAGAGACGGCTCGGTGATTAAGAGCGCTGGGTGCTTTTCCAGAAGACCTAGGGTTCGATTCTCAGCATCCACAAAATGGTTCACAACTTCAGTTCCAGGGGACTTCACACCCTCGTTGGGCCTCCACAGGCCCTGTACACTTGTGGCATACAGATATACATACAGGCAAAGCACTCTTACAGAAAATAAAAATCAAATATGTATATGAGAGAGAGAGAGAGGCAGGGGTCTTACGTAGTCCAGGTTAGCATCGAACGCCTTATGTAACTGAGGATGAACTTGACTTTCTGATCCTCCTGCCTCCACAACTGGAGTGTTGGGATGACAGCCACGCATTACCACCCGATTTTTTAATTAAAAATTTTTATACAATTTGATCACATTTTCCCCCTCCTCCAACTCCTCCCAGATCCTCCTCAGTTTTTCCCATCCAGCTTTCTGTTCCTTATCAAAAAAACACACCCCCCAAACCCCCAAAACAAAAATCAAAACAGACAGGCAACGGGGGGGGGGGCAAAATAAAAGGCCCACAAAAATAGCACTGAGTTTGTTTTCATAATTCAATGAGACATTATGTGTGTCTGTGTATACCCATTTGGTACCCTGGTAGTCCCAGAGCTAGTGAAAAGGAACTCAGGACCTCTGGAAGAGCCATATACTCTCTTAAACAATGAGCCATCTCGCCAGCACCCGGCAAGTTTAATTAGTGCTAGGGGCTCCATCCCAACCATCAGTAGCCAGAAGAGCAGGAACTGCACAGCACATGCCTCTTTACTAGGTTGAGTGTGTAGTAGCTGGGGAAAAAAAAAAAAATGCCCTCAGGTAGTGTGCTTTCGTAGAAGTAAAACAGGTTTGAGAGGCAAGTTCAGCTGCTTCCCAGCCATTTGCTCATCTGTACTATTGTACAGCTTGAGATCAGGGATGGAGATACCTTCAGAAGATCCTTTATTGTACAGGATTGTTTCAGCTATTCTGGGTTTTTTGTTTTCCATATGAATTTGAGAATTGTTCTTTCAAGGTCTGTAAAGAACTGTTGGCATTTTGATGGGAACTGCACTGAGTCTGTAGACTGCTTTTGGTAGGACGGCCATTTTTACTATATTACTCCTACCAATCCATGAGCTCCACAAGGAGACCAACAAAGCCAACAAATCTGGGCCCAGGGCAGCCTGCAAGACTGATGCATCAACCAAGTACTGTGCACGGAGAGGGCCTAGACCCCCTGCTCAGATGTAGCTGATAAGAAGCTCAGTGTCCATGTAGGTTCCCTAGGGGCACAGGGGCTGTCTTGACATGGATTCTGTTGTTCATTCTTTGATCACGTCCTCCTGGAAAGAGGAAGAGGATTCAGGTAGTCCTGGTAAGACTTGATAGGCTAGGGTCAGTAGGGGAGGAGGGCTCCCCCTTTCTGTGGACTAGGGAAGGGAGATGGAGGAAGAGAGAGCCTGCCTTGTGGGTCTCTTGGCTTATAGATAGCCACTCCAGTCATTCTAACTAATCTCACCTTGCAGAAGGAGGCTCGAGTATTTGCCAGGGTCAGGGTGCAGTCCAGCTTGACTGGAGAGGAGAGGGGGAGGGAGAACTCAGGACGACTGGTACTGGAATTGGGGAAAGCCCATCCAGTCTAATGCTGGACTGGGGTCATCTACCCATCTTACCATCAACACATATATTCCTGCCGCCATACAGCTAATGAATGGTGTATCCCTGGTGTAGGCAAGCCCCCAAGGATTTTGCCTCAAGACTGCTTATTGTTGCTGCTCTGCCTTTCCGTACTTGTTTCATGTATCTGGCGTGGCAGAGACCCTCACTGTTTATTGCTTCACTCTGTTGGGCAGATTATTTTAAAGATGTACCTTCATAGTGCTGTTTAGTGAATTGATGATCTCATGGCCCCTGATGATGAATTTAAAGCAATTCTGAATTGATTCGAGTAATTTTAAAACCGTCCTGCAGTGTAACAAAAACCGCTAGGAGCTCTATGAAGCTCCCTATGTCAAGCACTTGATTTACACCAAGACTGAAACAAATTAATAATCAAGGAAAGAATTCATTCTAGGTTTAGTCCAAGGATAAGGCCCAGGTGTACACCATGATAAGAAAGGTCATATGAGTGGGCTGAAGAGATGGTTCAGTGGTTAAGAGCACTGCCTGCTCTTCCAAAGGACCTGGTTCAATTCCCAACACCCACAGCAGCTCACAACTGTATGTAAGGGATCTATCTGATACCTTCACACTAATGCACATAAAATTAAATTATTCTAAAAAGTTAAAAAGAAAGGTCATATGAATATAGAAGCAAAGAATAAATGGTTAGCTATATAAGACAGACCTGTTTCTTAGAAAAACCTTGACATAAAAAACTTGCTTTGAACACAGTGTATATTTGAAATAAGATAAACCTGCTTTGAACTCATGAGCATATAGATAAAAACGACTGCTTTAAACTTATAATAAACAAAATATCTACACATAAGGATCACTAGCCCCACTTTAACTCCCCCTTTGTGTATCTATTTTTGATGCACTTTTTTTCCATACATAGAGAACCTTTGTATTAGAGTATGAAAACCCAAGATAGAATTAAACACTTGAGGCTACCTGCTTCATCCAAAAGTGTCTGTATATATTATATATATATATCTGTATGTTTAAATATAGGTTGATGTCTTTGTGAGCTCCCTTGTTTTGTCTATTGACTGTATGTGTGCATGTGTGTGAGGTTTGTAAGTATCTGCCTGCTTCGCCTGCCAAATGTGTATGCTTTTGCATGAAGTTATTAAGTTTAGTAAGTGATAAGCAGTATAGAGTGTTTTATAGGCCTTCATAATTAGGACTCTACCTTCCAGCAAGCTGCTGTTCACTGCTGAGCCATTAAGTTAAAAGGAACTATGGTTTGTTTTTTTTTTTTTAACAACCCCTTGTATTTACAAGAAGAAACTGTAAGGGCTGCTGCTGCTTGTACTCTGAGTTAAAGAAGCCACCTGGCTTGACTGATTAACACCCTCTGCTGTCTTTTCCTTGACAGGCTCTTGTGACCAGTGGCCCCTGTACATATAGCACTAAACTGTATATAGCGAAAGCCCCAAATAGCAAGGCTACCAGCCTGGAAATTTAAGAGTTAAAGTGTATTCAGAGCAACGATGCTACCAGTCTGAAAGATTAAAGTTGAGAGAGAAACACCAGGCATCAGCTGGTCATCACTGATGCTGTGACCACCTTGGCTCACCCTGTGTGTTGGAGCTGGTCTCTAGAACCCAAGAGTACACATGGGTTCTGTTTTGTTTGGGCTGTTGGGAGTCTAGCACGCAGTAGGTACTTGATAAGTGCTTGAGTGTGTATATAACTACCTGGTGGATTAATGACTCCATCTCTTCCCCACCAGGAGGCAACCTGATTTATATGCTCCTCGCTGCTTGCTCTCTGTCCATGGGCAAATCTCACCTTCCTCTCACCTGGCCTGTTTCCCTCTGAATCATAAGAGAGCTTGGTATGGTGCCCACCAGGTCCTTTATAAATCTTCCTCATTCCCTACAGGCCTACTCTAATAGCCTGAGGCACTGGCATGGCCTGGCCCCACAGACTCCTTGGCAAAGCCAAGCCAAGACTTGTCTGCTTGGTAGCTCCGCCATCCATCAGAGACCTCTGAGGACCAGTGTGCTTAACAGCTCGGATCCAGTACAGGGGCTATGGGAAGGCCAAGAGTACCTGGGATCTCAACCTGGGTAGTATGGAAAGGGCAGCCAAGGGGAGTGAAGGGTTCTAGCCCGAAGCCTAGATGATCAGAACCATGACAAGGTCTTGTGGAGTTCCCTGGCACACACCTTCCTCCCCAATCCTTCTATATGTGAAAACTGAGGCCATTGTGTAACTTGAGCTTCCTGTGTTTAACCCAGGGGGTAGGATAGGAGATGGTCAGGAGGGCAAGGTTCCTTATTTGAGTAAGGGGGTGTTGAGAAAGGGCCTTGCAGGGTGGCAGTTGTTTCATCCCGCTTCATCTCACTGCCATGGAGGGCAGTGAGGAGGCTGGCTGTTCCAAATCTGAGAGGTGGGCTTCAACCAAGGTCTGCTCATGGAGCCGTGGGCAAATCACTGAGTTTCTAAAACCGGTCCTCTTCTAGTAACTCCAGCCTGCCCCACAGCTGCAGGCCAGACTGGTTCACAGCACACGGACTGGTTCCCCAGCCTGGAGCTGCAGTCGTACCTGCATACCTCCACCTCTAGCTTGCCAACTGTTCGGAGATCTGCCTCTGCCTTTCCCCACTTTGTCTCTACTGACTGGAGCAAGTAGAGGTAGAAGCTGGTGTCTACCCAGAGTAACAGGTGACCTGCTGGTGGGCCCAACAACTGCTCAGAACCCAGCAGAACAGAGGACACCCACCACACAAGGAGGTTGGAGGACACTGACTCGGCCTCTGCTCCTGCTGAGCCAGGCGGTTTACCCTGCAGGAAGGCCGGAGAGCAGCTTCACTAGTGCTTGGAGAGTGCAAGGGCGGCAGCAGTCCTTTCACCTAGACTGGTCAGGGCTACCACGCCTGGCTTTATTTTCTCACTTGATCCCAGTAAGAGGCAAGAAGGTCTTGGAGGTTTTCTGTGCACTGAGGGGACCCGCACTGATCACCTTACCCCAGAGATCAGCTACTTGCAGAAACACAACAGTGGCACACTCAGGTCAACACAGTAGGTTCACGGGTATGAGGACAACTATGGGAAGAGTAGCTGCTGGTCTTGTCCTGTTAGGTCTGGGGAAAGAGGGTGGTACCAGGGATGCCCTCCGCAGGGATGCTCAAAGACCCTCAAGCCCCCAGCCTCTGTTGGCAGGAACACTGAAACACGGCCCGAGAGGGCATCTTGCCCAGTTGCAGAGCTGGTGCACCCCAAGGAGACAAGTCTATGGGAAGAAGAGGGTTGGTACAAGGCAAAGGGGCTGTCAAACGCACAAGATCAACTGTTTATTGATTTGTTGTTGCTCTTCTAAAATACTATACATTTAAAGGAATTTCTAAACATTAAGGACTTGACAGCTTTTGGTCAATCTGTAGCTTAGGAACAAGGACTTCTGCTGGTAAGTTGTCATGACACACAGCCACAGCAAAATGGCACTCATGGCAAACAGTGAAGAAACACAAGTTGCTGATGTGCGACCTTGCACACTGTCTGAGCTAACAAAATAAAACTCTCTCTTTGCCCAATCCTGGGTCTCAGGACAGTCCCACTGCACCTGAGGACAAGGGTACTTGGAGGGACTTGTGTGTGTGTGGCGGGGTACCGAACCCCTCTAACTCTCCACTGAGTGACACAGGGACCGCGAAGCCTGGGCCACTGCAAACACCTAGGAGCTTTTCCAGTGCTCTGCCATGGATGGAGGCCTGGCCAGTGAGCCTCAGTCTTCTCAGCAGCTCCACTCAGAGGCCAGAGCCACATCTTAACCGGGAGGAGGCTGACAGCAAGCCATGCCTATGCTTCAATGCCATGGGCTTCAAGCAGTTGACAAGCCCTGCTGTCAGAAGCCACCAGCTCTCAACAGTGGGTGAACTCTATAGATTCTCTGAATATCAAATAATATATACAGATATACATCAAGACACGACGGTCCAATGTAAAGCATCTCCATCTACAGACGCAGCTGCTTTGAAAAGTTAGTCTTATGTTTAACTTTCCAAATCACTAACAAAACTGTTAATATGCAAAAATTGAAGCAAGATAGAGTGAAAATAATTTCTAACCATGGTGATGCTGGAGAACATTGCACAAGGTTACCCCTGCAACTGGCACTTGCCATGGAACTCCTGCTGCAGCAACCCCACATCTGAACACAGCACAAAGAACTTAAGACAGCATACATGGAGAACACCTCAGATCAATCTAGGCCATAATTTAACTGACTGGAAGAGCATATAAAAAAGTATAACTGTACAGTGCCTTTAAATTAAAACCTCAAACTTTTTACTCAGAAAACGGCAAGTAAGTCTGTTCATTAAACTTGCAAGTAGGGACTCATCAGAGAAAATAATCAGTGGAACAAGAATCAGTGTGATCCGTCATTGACTTGGGAGGGGCAAGGGCAAGAAGGTGCAAATCCATGATACAGAGACCTGGTGGGGTGGGGAGGGGCCTGGCTCTCACTGTTGGACCATGTCTTCCTGTGCCTAGATCTGCCCAGATGTGCTTCGAAAGGGGCCAAGTCCCCAATGAAATCACCAGCTCATCTGCCTTCAAAGCACACCAGGAAGCCAAGAACAACAGAACCATCATCTTTTGCAGGTGGAGTGGATGCCTACACAGCTGCTGGGGGCGCTGGAGGTGTCACTGCCCAGGCCAAGGCTAACGGAGCTCCTGAACTGCCCACTTCCATTTCTCCGCCAGCCTGCCCATGGTCTGTCACTGGATAGCCTCAACATAGTTGGCTGGGTATAGGCCAACTTGGCCGCTGTCCAAGCGTCCCTTGCACCAACCCTGTTCATCTTCGTCCTCTATCTTGGTCAGCTCATCCCCTGTAAGACAAAAAGAGGGTGGCCTTAGTGACAGTGTAGGCAACACTGATCACAAAAACTCACCTGCACATCCAAATCCAATGTGGATACGAACATGCTTCTAGAAGGATTGACAGAGGGTCTCCAAAGCAGAGGGGTAGGCATCCTCCTGAAGGCGAGGTAAGATCCTGGATATTTCCCTACTAGTTGTATTCAAAGCTTCTGTCATAGAGGCCACTGTGACCTGAAAATGGCAGCTCTCGAGCGACCTTGGGGCAAGCAGCAGTCCAGATTGTGAGAGCACCAGGCTCAGCCTTGGGCCTATCCTGTGTGTCCTAGGTTGCTTTGTTTAGCAACATGCCCCCATGTTTTCATTCTGTATGGTGGCTTAAGGTATCTTTAGGGCTCACTCTTGTGGCTCTTTGAGGTTCTGCTTCCTGAGTCAGAGACCTGGCAGAGACCTGGGCAAACAGGGTCTGTGTCCTATACATTTCCATCTGCAGACAAGGAGTCCACCAAGTGCTAGCACATGAGGTGCTCTGGATGCAGAGGGCCTGAGTGTGCTGTACTGTTCTATCACGACACAGGAGCTCACCCTGTAAGCAGTAAGGGAAGGGGCCCGTGGTGAAAACTGCCTTGGCTCACAGTGAGGACACAGAGTAGGGCTAAAAAGATGATCACAGCAAAGTCTGCAGCACTGAAAAGGATGAACAAAAAGACTGGTAGGCAACATGAGATAACCAAGCTACACAGCTAAGAGGACGGACAGAGTTCTGGACCAGTAATGGCACTCTGACTAGCCCCCAAAGCCTTTGGAGGACACGCGGTCACTACTGTCTTTTCTTAAAATCTTGCTTCAAGTGACAGGTCAACTGTCAGCACAGCTTCTTCCAGGAAGCTTCCGGTTGGAGAGCAGAGACAAAGAGCAAACAGGAGGTAACCCAGAAAGACTGCGGCGACAGCTTGGTGGCTGCAGTAGTTAACCCTCTGCTGCTGACTGAGTAATCTGAGCACACAGAGATCTTAATAGAAATAACAGCACACAAGATGCCTGCAAAGGTAGAGCTGTAACACCAGCTGGCAGCTAGCAGGCAGTGAAGGTCGATGGCTAGCTAACAAAGCTCCAGCCCTAACACAAACAGTACACTCCCACCTCCCTGGCTGGAACAAAGGGACATGCAAGGATCAGGTAGGCGAAGGTTTTGCAGTGAAGACCCACACATGAAACTAGCAGGAACTTGACAAGACTTCCAGAACAAAAGACAAGTCCCCGCAGCAGGCTGACATCTCTATTCCCAGTGGGGTATGTGGGGAGGGTACCTACCAGCCTTGAAGCTTAGCTCATCATGTTCCTGTCCCTCGTAGTCATAGAGGGCCCGAACTCGCACTTCCGTTCCTGAGGTGGTGTCCTCATCAAATGGGTTAGAGTCCCCGTTGGCATCCGTAGAGGAGAAAGGGTTGTTAGACTCATCATCAGACCAGTCAGCAGGGTAATTCTGAGTCTTTTCGTAGCTGCTGACACTGAAACAAAGAGGAGGACATGAGGCGCTTAGCACGGGACTGATAAAGAATGTGAGATCCCCACCCAGAGTTCCTGCCCCATAGGCAGCTGCAGCCAGGCCCTTCAGAGCCTTCATGCTATCCACATTCATCCTGAGCCCTCAAGGGAAGCTGGGGGCCTGTGAATACCCCAGAGTAGTGCCTGCAGGTAGACCTCGACCCTCTTCAGCAGGTCCCCCAGGTTAGACTGCCTGTCTGTCTTCCTGTAGTGGTGCTGTTCAGGCCTTAAAGGGTTAGCAAAGGACAGGAAAAGCAAGCAAAGAGTGTTAGCTGTGCCCTCCCAGAGGGGTGGAAAGGCCTGACACTGTCCCAGAAGGCCTGAAATGCAGAGGGCAGGTGCCCAGGTCCTGGAGGCTCATGCATTGCTGAAGTGCTGAGGGGTGAGATCCCAAGAGACCCCTGGATATAGAGAGAGGAGACACAAAGAGAGCGAGGTGGAAGCCAGAGGGAAGTGTGTGTTCACCAACTTTTTGGCCTTAATGTCCTCCTTCTCACTGACGGTGCTGCCCGTGTCGTCCTCGTCCTCGAAGGGGTTGTAGCTGGACTGTAACTGCGTGGACTGGGCGGGGTTGCTCGGGACACTAAGGTTGCTAAGGGGAGAAAGAGAGCTTTCAGGGATCACAGCTTGGGGCCCCCTGAGGGCCCTGGTGACTCCAGCACAGAAGACAGTGACAGTGTCTCTAGATACAGCAGCTCCTCATTAGGAGGAGGATGTTGCTTGAAGATTTTAGGTGGATGTGTGGCTATATGTGTGTCAACACACCTTGATTTATCTACAAGTTAACTGTCCACCACACATGCACAAGTACTTCCTGGCTCAGGGTTTCCCCACAGTCTCCTAGGTCCTCAGTCCCACGTAAGGCTAGCCAGTGGCAACAACTGATGGTGGAGCTCCTTGGGAAGCAGCAGCAAAGGAAGGACTGTATCCTTGGAGTAGGGGCCTTCCCAGCTCTCCAGTGTCCTGCTAACTACTAAACAGGCCAGCTCCCTCTTTGTGCTGAAGCTGCCACAATCAAAACTGAAGCTTGCTGCACAGAAGGATCCTCTAAAGCTCTGGAGTCAAATCAGTCTCAGAACTTGCCAATTACCTCCCAGTCCAACGCTAATAAGAGAGACACTGGGTGCTAAGGAGTAGGATGAAGGGGCCACAGGGCATAGAACACTATCACGGAGCCACCACAGAAGAACATATAGAAAGAGTCACCCTAGGACAGCAGTTCTCAACCTGTGGACTGCAACTCCTTTGAGGGAGTGTCAAATGACGCTTTCACAGGGCTTGCCTGAGACCACTGGAAAACACAGATATTAACAGTACAATTCATAAAAGTAGCAACAAAAATAATTTTATGCTTGGGGTCAACACAGCATAAGGAACTGTGTTAACCGGTCAGTAGCAATAGGAAGGTTGAGAACCACTGCCCGAGGCTGATGTACCGTGCTTCCTCAGCGGAAGCTGATGTGCACCCACATCAGCGGCCAGGGCTTTGGGCAGCACGCTCTTAAAACGGAGCAGCTACCACCCAAAAAAGCCAAGCAGGTGAGGGTAGGAAACCCCTCAGCTGCCAGAGTGACCCTGGCTGTCTGTTGGGATACAGGCAGTGTGTTTGACACCAGCAGACCCTCTGACCTCCTGAGCTCCCTGCTCTAGCTGACCTCTGAGGGACTTGGTGCTGGGCACTGAACTGGTACATCCTCTCTGGCCAGCACTAGTCCACAGGGTCCCCTGAGTCCCAGCTCCTTCCCTTCTATCCCCAGGCACATCGGGAGGACAGGTTGGTTCTGAGGTTGGTTACTCCAACAGAGCTCTCTGTAGAGGCACCATGCACAGCACCTGGGCAGCACCAGCCACGTGTGACTGGAGAGCCCAGTGGGGTAGAGGGCTTAGTGCCTGGGCCAGTAAGCATGGCACTAGAATCTGAGCTAATGTGACCATTACTAAGCATGGCAGAGGCCTCTAGCCAAGTCCTACTGCACATTATTTCCAGAAGGTTCTAATGACCACACTTGGTACTCCTTCTGTCCACAAGCCATTTTAGACAATGAAGTCAGAGATTTCTGTGTTGAGGACAAGGGGGTACTCTATGCAGAGTGCTAGGACTGAACTAGGGCATTTACTTGCCTGGCAAATGATCTGTTGAGTTACACCTCAAGCCTAGTGCGAAATAACTAACACTAAGTGGGGGGGGGGGGGGGGGGGCATCTGTCCATCCCCCACTGTCCTGCAACTGCTGGCATGTGCATGGAAGTCCCACAGGATGATGCCACGGATATCATGTCTATCTGCTGTGTTCACCCAGGGCTGCACCATGGGGATAAACACAAGCAGCTAACCCCAGCAGCCCCTGTACTAGGACAGGCACAATGTGCACGGGGCTCTTTCTCTGGATCTTTCAGGAGTTCGTTTCAGCATGAGCAGAAAAAGAATCCAAGGACGGGCTTTACCCAGAGCCTATGGGAATCATCCAAGTGCCCAAACTAGTGGCATCCCAGGACCAGCAGATATCCTCATTCCTGACAGTCAGTTCTCAAGCTGTGACTGGAGCTCACCTGCCAGGCTTGTTCTGCCCAGACTGGTCACCTGTCTGGTTGATTCCCATTAGGGTGACACCATCAGCAGCCTTCTTCTTCTCTCTCCGGCTGAGAGTTCGATTCAGATCTGCAGACCACTCCTGGGCAATGGGCCACAGGAAGGAAATGAGAGGTTCATTTTCTGGGAAACCACACTGGTCCAAAACACTTGTTCAGGCAGCAGCTACCCACCCTGTGCAATTAGTAATATTCAGCCTTGTGGTCCCTGCTCTCCCCTGTCTCCCAGAAAACCCCAAGCTACCTTTTGGGCCTAAAGGATATGAAGGTTGGCACCCATATAACAACAGGTTGGCATCAAGTAGCAGACTTTATATATAGAACATGATGGTGACAGCAGAACTTAGTCTGAGGGCTGGGTATGTAGTTCAGTGGTATGTAGTTCAGTGGTAGATGTCTGCCTAGCATACATAAGGTCATAGGTTCTATACCAAACAATACACATACCACACCCATACCCCACCCTCACCCAATCTCAGAAACACCCTGAACCATAGCTGATGATGCTTACTGTCTTTTATTACAGTCCTGGAGAGCCTTCTAATCCCATTCCCTGTTCACCACGGTTCTTAGGCTCTATTATCCACCCACGACAGCTCTGGTGGTCTTGAGCCTTTCAAGTAGACAGGAGCCAGTCCTGTGGGGAGCCTGGCCGAAGCACTTAATCCCTGAGCACCCTAGGTCACACAGGGACCTAGCAAGTCTGAAGGGACCTGAGCAAGTCTGCCACACAGAAAACTAAACCAGGACTGAAAATAAAATCAGGGCCTAGGTGGCTATAGTACCACAAAGGAGGCTGACAGACAGGTACTGCACGCTCAAGTCTCCAAAGTCTCTCCCTGATACATCACTCTAATCAGAGCGACATGCTGGCAACTAACAGAAGAACAGAGGGTTTATGTCCCCAAAACCCCTTCTGCTTTCCCAACAAGAAGCTTTCAGTGGGAAAGGCGCTAGGTCTTGACTTTCCAGAAAAATCCAGTGTATTCATGCACTTAATGAGTTCTCCTTATCTCCCATCTCCACTATCAAATAAGTGTAATTATAATCAGTGAGATGGCTAATCAGGTAAAAGTGCTCGCCTTGAAAGGGAGACAACCCGAGGTCAAGCCCCAGAACCCGTGTAAAGATGGAAGAAGAGAACCAGCCCCACAGAATTGTGCTCTGGCTTACACACTCACTCCACCCCTCCACACGCAATTAAATTTAAATCCAATGTGCCTTGGTGCACGCACAGCTCTGTTTCCTCTTATAAAATATCAGGCTCACAGTCATCTTAGACATGTTAAGCCTAGCTTTCCATTTGTCAGATGAGGAAATACAGAGGCCAAGAAAAGCTGAGGTCCACATAGAGTGGATCACAGTCTTGGGCCAGAGACTTCAACCCAAGTCACCTTGTCTTTTAATGACTGTCCTAATGGAAGTCAGTAGGCTAAGAACTCAGCTGGAACCTCCCGTTCCCCATGGTCAGCTAACTACAGATGGACTCTAACAAGGGAACAATGGGATCAGCACCAGGAACTCTGGAAGAAGGGCCACAGAACTGGGGCCTCTACAGACAGGGAACTCAGTAGGCTGACTACATGCAGTAGGAAGCTTGGCAATCCATGAGTTAATCAAAAGCAGAAACTTACTTCATCCTTGTTGCATGAAAAACGAAAACAACTTCATTAGAGAAAGTCAGACACAACCTGGTAACAACTATCAATGTGAACACAAGGAACAGGGGAGGGCTGGACCCCAGACAGGGGCCCGCAGGCTCTGGCCAGGGTACTCCCTCCTTGAGGACAATCAGCCCGATCTTTTCCACCGCTGCCCTCTTTGGTTTAGGAGGCACTCTGAGGGAAGCAGGAGACTTCATGAACATGGTGCCCTGTGCCACTCTAGAGCAACAAGCAGACTGGGAGCTGAGTGCGAACTATGCCTAAGATATCACTCAGCATACTTCTTCCTGGTGTGTGTGGCACTGGAAGAAGGACTGTTGCCTCTGGGGCCACTTACACTAGAAAAGGCCCTGGACTTCAATGTCTTGTAGGGGCCTGCCTGCTCTGGCAGCCTCCTGATGGTTAGATGTAGGAGATGCTCAGTTCAGCTCCTGCCTTTTAGAGATATCATGAATTCCAGAAAAAGAAGTGTGGGAGCGAGGTCAGATGCAGGTCCAAAGGGCTGAAGAACTTGCGGGGAGCCCAAGTTTATGTGATAACCCAGCACAGATCAGGTTATACCCTGCAATAAGCCCAGGTGGCTATTCATACTGTAACACGGAAAAACTAAGCCACATAAAGGACTTGCTTATTCAAGACCCAAAGCTATTAAGGGGTAAGGACAGATGCCGCCCAAGCTCTGGCTATCAGGCCAGAGAAGCCATAGGGCCTGACTTGAAGGACTCTTCTCATCAGCTGCAGGGTTGGGACTCACACCACACCCAGTGAATGAGGAGGAGACAATGCTTTCCTTCAGGGAGCATGGCTAGTGGGGCTTTCAGCCACTACCTTCTATGCTGTCAGGAAAGTGGGTGGGTCTGCTGATCAAACCCTAGCCTCAAGATCTACAGGCCCTTGTATTTATAACATAAAGACACTGCACAGCTCCGGTCCACAAGATGGAAGAACAGGCAAACTAGGCAAACTCACATTGAGCCAAGATTCACTGAATTTTACAGCCCAAGGCAAAAAAAACCCTCGGCGGTGGGGGGGAGGGAGGATCAGGAGAGCAACTCATTGATACTGGCTGGCCCTTGTGGCCCAACATGATGCCTAGGGCCAGAATGGGCACTCTGTATGGCGGGATAAACATAACTGTTTTTGTCTCTTGGACAAGAGGGGAGTGCCAATGGGAAGTGATGGTGTCTGAAGGATTTCAGACACAGTGCCTGGGACACTGGACACCACTCCAGTCAGACATTTGCATACATAAAGCAGGGAGTGAGAACAACATTCATAGCTCAACTAGAGGGCCAGAGGCTTCTTCCCGGGTGGACAGAGTTATAGGCACAAAACCTCCTTACCTCAAACTGTGGCCAGTTCATGGCCATTCCTGGTCCATGGAAGGCTCGGAACCACCTCAGGTCCTCTACTGCATCAGCCGCTTTGATGCTCTGCTCCAGCTCTCGGTAAATGGTTTTATAGCTAAACCAGAGACAGAAAGACAGCTCTACAAAAGGCAGAGGCCAGCCACCATTCCTTGCACCCTCAGCAGGCCCTGTAGCCTGCATGACAGTCTCTGTAGCCTACATGAATGAGTTTCCCAGACAGAGATGAGGAACAGCATTCCCCGGCCATCTCATGTACAGATGCAGACCCCATCCTCCTCTAGAACCTGAAACCCAGCAACAAGGAAGTTTCCCGGCAAGCCAGGTGGCACACTGAGGTCACGCTGTGCTGTGTGGGTGCAGCTGTGCAGTCCCACTCAGTCAGGTCATGTTGACGAAGAAGCCATTTGAGAAGAGGTCCAGAGTGCCCCCTCCTCCATTCCTCTCAGGAGAGCTGGAGGTTTCCTTCCCCCTGTGAAAGGCACCATGGGAGGAGGGCAGAACTGCAGGACCCAGCCCAGCCTTCTGGGGCCAAAAACATGGGTCTTGGCTGGACCTGATATTTCACTTATCTGTCGAGATGGTTCTTTTTCTGAGTCTCAGTTTCTGTCTCTCCTGAGTGGAGGCAATACCTCTTCTCTCTAAGGACTGAACTGTGTCCTAACCTGGAAATGTGACCTTTGCACAACATGGTCTTTTAGAGTGAACAACTTAAAATGGGTTCAATAAAGTGGCCCCAATGCACCGGGGCTGCTGTCTTTATAGAGAAGGAGAAATCTGCACTAGACACTCAGGGAAAGATGGCCAGGGGACAGGAGAGAAGTGGTCAGATGTCCAGGAAGCTGAGGACTCTGGCAGGCCCCACCTTGGTTCATGACTTCTGTCTTCTAGAACTGAGCATGAGCTTCCCTTGTCTGACACTCAGCTTCTGTTACAGCAGCCTCAGGAGCAACTACACCATGTACCACCGCTACCGCCCCAGGTGACTTCTTAGAACGTAGAGACAAGCCGTGCTGATTCTGGCCTTTGTCACATGCCAAGCACAAACATAGTGGAAGGTGCCTCACACACAGAGGAGCAGGACACAGGCCCGTGCCTGTCCCTGTCCCCTAACAGCTGTGCAGCACCTCAGTTTCCTCATTAGCACGATGATGTGGGAAATGCTACCCACTTTCCACGCTGTCACAAAGATAAAATGAATGACAGCAAGCAGCTGTATAATGACTGCTTTGTACCTTTTAGAAGGGACAAAGGGGATGCCATTTTCTACTGACAACAAGCTTTGACCTGACAATCATTTCTCAATGGTTCTGCTAGACGAATGAAGGAAGTAGATTTCTATCTCTGGGTCTCTCCTGATGCAGACACACTGTGTCACAAGTCAAAGTGGAGTGTCTCACCATTCTGGCCTCCCCAGGACCTACAGCCTGAATGTCAAAGGTCAAGCTGGCAGCAGGGATGAGAAGGCCTCATAAATTTTACAAGGGGCAGTCCCAGAGGCAGAGGACATGAGGCCTGGACAATGCTGCATCAGTCCAGATTGTTTGAACTGTGGCACCAGAACAGACCGTTCTAGACCCATTCAGAGCTGTCAGCATAAAGCCCACGGTGCCTGCCCTGCTCAAGCCTCCATGGCTATGCTGTATGCTGGCTAAAACAGGCCTCTGAGAATCTGGAATGTGGTGTGAAAAGCCCTCTTGGTAGCTGTCCTCCCATCTCCCAAGGCAGCCGGTGCATCACCTGAGCCTATTCAATACCAGCCTCTCCATGACTCACACTGATGGGATTTGCTCAGGGGAACTTACCTAGCCACATTGGACAGGTCCAGGTGTTTCTGAACCTCCAGCAGAACCTCCCGGAAAAACTTCAGGCGCTTTTCTTCAAACTGCTGACACTGCTCGAACACCTGCTCCATGTTCTCCATGTACTGGGGTGTGGTCTGATCGAGCTCCTTCAGGGCCTTCTCATACTTGTCCTTAGTCTATGTTAAAATTGGCGCAGACAGAGGTTTGTTTCCAACCCACATCTGTTTACCCCACATGCCCTGCTGCTTCTTAGCCAAGTGCTTGCCCCAACAGGTATGTAGGTGAGAGATGGTCACCCCTGCACTCAGATGGCCTACTAAAAGGTTAATAAGGGCTCTAACTTCATTACAAAATTCACACCTGAATGGATTATTAGAAGGTAGGGCCCAGTTAGAGGAAGTCTCAGAGATCAAGTCTCTGATGGATCTGCTTTGTCTTTTTTGAGATTTTTATTTATTCAATGTATGAGTGCTCTATCTGCATGTACACCTGCAGGCCAGAAGAGGGCATCAGATCCCAGTATAGAAAGCTGTGAGCAACCATATCATTGCTGGGACTTGTACTCAGGACCTCTGGAAGAGCAGACAGTGTTCTTAATTGCTGAGCCATCTCTACATCTCCAATCTGGCTTGTCTTTGGCATCTTCCTTCCTGTGCTGTTTCTGCCTGCTATTAGGTAAGTAACCCTCTCGACCACATGGTCCCTATGTCATGGTGCCCTAACTTGAAGGTCCAGAACAACAGAGCCCAGGCAGCCCTTCCTGAAATCTCTGAAACGGAACCAAGATAAATGGTTCCTCTTTCATGTTGTTTTTCTGATATTTTTCACAGTAACAAGAACTGAGTGACTGACCAGGTGCTGCTCATTGATGATTTCCAAGGTGAAGTGAGGGAAGCAAGGTCTGGCCACCTATTTGTTACAAGGTTCTACATTATGAGGCCCTGAGAACTGAAGAGAGCTATGGGTTTGTCTGAAAGTACTTTTACTCTACAACGCACACATGCTTGCTCTCTGTACCCCTCCCCCTCTATTCCAAGGAAGGTATCTAGGCCACTGGAATAACTTCTTTGTTGTCTCACACGAGGGCACCAAATCTAGCCCAGGACTCAGGCTCCTTATGTTCTAAGGAGACACTTCTGGAAGCCTTTCCTGACCTACGAGGTACAGTTTCCATCCACATTCTGGGCCCCATTCCTGTTTTAACCCTCTTGGATTCTGGTTCCTTACTTTCTTATGAATGTACAGATGGCCACGCTGAGTCCTCTAGGAGGAACGGAAAGGTCACTTATGCAAGAACAGAGTTCCACAGACACTCTGGGTACATCCCGCCATCTTTCACACTATCCTGTGCCCCAACATGGAAGCACTGTGTGGAAGCTCTAGATCACAGGGCCCCAGCACTGAGAAGCAGAGGCCTTCAAGTCATAACGCCTCCTGGAGCCTTTGGAGTAGCAAATGGTCCTTTTACTGGACTCCTCACTTTCAGCTTGACTATACTGAGGCTATGTCCTGCCTCCGAGTCAACCAATGACCAAGGCAGGGTCATCACTATTCAGAAAAGCCCTAGCAGAGATAGACAAAGTCCCCAGCTGCCCTCAGAAGTATGCTGTGCTGCAATGTGAGCCTCCTCTCTGATGAACACTGCAAGACACATTTCCTTCCTAGCCAGGAAGAAACAGTCTGTGAACAACAGCTGGTGCTAGCCTGCACTCCTCTCTAGCATTCTAGGGCTACACAGACGACTCGGGCGCTGAGTCAGGCCACAGGCAGACCACCCAGGGAGGGAAAGTTCCAAAAGGGAAGCTACCACTACAAATGTCTGTCTCCCTGACACACACTTCAGTCAGACCTCATGTTCTGGGTCTGTTCTGCTGAAGCACCAGACTGGTGGGAACTGCTCTGCATGGTGAAAAATGAGGCTTTTTACCTCTCCTTCCTTAACACACAGACATACAGGCTAAAAGGCAGGGAGAGAGACAAGACAAAGCAAACACACACACGTACACACAATAGATGTGCTATATCTGTGCTGTATCTTTCTTCTAAGCACCTTCCTGAGCAGCAGATTCCTGTAGTCCTGACAGGTTCTTTTAGCATTTCCCAGGCCCTATGTTTCTTGATCTCAAGCGCCCACTGCTATCTAACACGGAGGCACAGCTCCGTCATCTGAGGCTGTTCCAGAGCTCCCCCAGCTCCTGACCTCAGCTGGGTCAGGGGCCACTTGAGCCACAGACCCTTATGGAGATGGCACTTCTCCTTGCTAGGTGAGGAGGTGAAAACAGCAGTGCAGGGTGCAGGATCTAGAGTCAGATGCCCTGCTCTCACATTACAGAGCAGCATGTTATTTATGCTAACTGACCTTGGCTGTTATTCAAAGCAGGAATGCCTTCACACAATCCAAAGACAGCTCACTGCCTCATCTGAAGCCAGGCAAGGGTGTCAAGTGGGTGACAATTAGCTCAGCACTTGCATCTGCCAGCCTCAAATCCTGCTGGGACCCCGCCTGCTGTGACCTCACTCCATCTTCTCCTGCAGATTCAGGCTGGCCAGACCAGCGGCAGGGAGGTAGGCCCTGGGTATCACTTATAGAGCAGATGAAGGGGAGCACAGAAACCCAGCCCCTGGGAACTTCTAAGGGGAGCAGAGAAGCCTAGCACCCAGGAACTTCTAAATGACAAGATGCCAGCTAATATTTCATTCTGGTGACTCTGGGGCCTCTCTGTACCAGTGGGGCACATCAGATTACCAAGTGGTCTACACTGACCCACTGAGGGAGACCACCTCACAGTAGAAGCAGAAGGGCTCCCAGAACACTACTTATGTTCTACATGGGCCAACAAGTGACGCTGACATTCAACTCAGCAAAGCAAGTGCATGTTTACCTTCAGAACATCCTGTTTGCATTTTTCTATCTTGTCTTGCAGTTTCTTCAGCTGCTCAGGGTTGAGGGACGGATCTGCTTTGCTGTTGGCTTCTCTAGAGATGGCCAGCTTCTCCTCTTTGCACGCTGTGTGGTATGCTTTCTTCGCTGCTTCCACCTACAGGAGAGTAAGCTGTGAGTGCAGCACTGCTTCAAGTGCAGACCTTCAGAGACTACACAGGCTGGGGAACTGCAGGTGCTGTCAGATGAGGGAAAGGCAGGGACAAATGTCCGTGCCTCATCACTCTTAACAACTGCCTCCAACAAAAGGCCTCACTCTGTAAATACTTCTCCATGCATGGTTCTAAGCACTGAGGACACAGGACAGAGATCAATCCATGTCTTAATTTGTAGATTTAAATTAGGTGGCCAAATGCAGGCATCATTAAATGATGGAGTAAATTAGAAGGGGTTGAGTGCTTTGGAGAAAAACCAAGCAGGAGAGATACTGGTAACACCAGAAGTGCAGGGATAGAATTCTATAGGGAATGGTAGGAAAACACTCCCTGAGATTGCTTGGAGTAAAGAAAGAGGTGTAGATATCCAAGGAAAGAGCATGTCAGAATAGCCAACACATGGAAGCTCCAAAAAAAATCTGTCAGGCATGTTACTGCATGCCTTTAATCCCAGCAACTCAGGAAGCAGAGGCTGATGGACCTCTGTGAGTTCCAGGCAAGTCTAATCTACACAGTGGGTCCAGGCCAAGCAGTCACACCCTGTCAAAAGCGAGACCCTGGTGTGTGTGTGTGTGTGGGGGGGGGGGGGTGTGCCTCTCACATGAGTAAAAGGCTTAAGGTGGGCTGGCAGAGATTCGGTTACAATTTCCAAGGACTTTTCTTTTAACAAAGGGTCATCATACATTGTCCATATTGGTCTCAAAGTTATGAGCTTATATCAGGGTTTCTCAACCTTCCTTAGCAACAGAGATGGCCTGTTCTCTACCTGATATATGGCTAAGGCAAGTTCCTGAAAGTGCAGGAAGGGAGCCCTATCAACGGAGCGGCCACCAGGAGAGAGGCAAAGCAGGACCAGTAAGAAGGCTGACACCTCTTTCAGCTTCTTGGCCCAGGGCTTCTGGGCCTTCCGGAAGCCATCCTCTGCTTCTTTGGTCTCCTTAAAGCCTCCCATCATCTGCTTGTGAAAGGCTTCTTTCTGCCAGTTCTTGATCTTCTCAAAGTCTTCATTCATCAGGAATGCCTTCACTTCTAGGTGCAGCTCGCTCACTCTCTCTGCTTCAGACATGACAGCCATCCAGGCCTTCTCCACGGTCCCATACTGTGGACCTGACACAGGAGAAGCATGTTAACTTAGCCTCTGCTAGCAGCAGGATTTCCTGTCACTCCTACAGCTGTTCACCTGGGAGCAGCCTGGACTACAGACAATTTCTTTTCTAAAGCCTTTGAGCTCTTGTGTGTGTACACATGCATATGTGTGCATGTAACGTGTACATGTGAGAGCATACACACCTGATATGTATATTCTACATGCATGTGTGTGAATGAATGTACATGTGATGCACATACACAGTTTATGTGGAGGCCAAGGCTCATGTTAATCTTCCATAATTACCTCTCTTTGTGTTTTTTGACAGTCGCATAGGACCAGAGCTCACAGATTCAGCTAGACAGGTTGGCCAGCAATTGCCCAGGATCTTCTAGACTCTGTTTCACAGAACCAGACTACAGGTTTGCAGTGCTGTACTTGGCTTTTTAGAAAGACCTTTATTTTAAACGTGTTGAGTGCCTACATAGATATATGTGCATGCCTGGTGCCCAAGAAGGCTAGAAGGGTATATTCCCCCTCCCTCCTTGAATTACAGGTGGTTTTGAGCTGCCAGGTCCTCTGATCTTTCAGCATCACCAATGCTCTTAACCACTGAGCTGTCTCCCCAGTTTTGCACCTAACTTTTATGCAGTAAGGAGTTGGGGATCAAGACCTCTGTTTGCATGGCAAGTGCCTACCCACCTAAGCCCGATCTCTCTGAGGTTTGTGAGACAACCCTTCCCGCATTCTGCAGATCTCAATTTGTTTACATGTGGCCAAAAAGGGGAGAACTCTCTGAAGTGAGCTGCCCACCCCTCACAACCAAACATTCTCTTGCTCCCACAACAGTCCACAATTGTGAGTGGTCTCCCTCAAGATGAACTCACCTTTATTCACACCCATGTGCAGTGTGGGCCCAGAGGATAACAGTGTCAATAGAGATAGGACAGGGAACATTTTGTAGTCCCAGGGGATTAGGGAAGATTCAAAGAGTCAATTTTCCACTGAATCCAAGCTCCACTCCTTTCTGTCAGGAATCGATCAGAGACTGCCGGTTGCTGTGAGCACCTCAATGATCCAGCCGGATCTCACCCGGTTCACCTTGCCCTTCCTACTCCAACCCCTTATCAAAGTGACAGTCCTGATTAAGAGTTTTCCTCCTAAGCCTTGGGGAACAAAGAACTAGGAAGGAATGAAATGACAATAGTGTCCCTACACAATCCAGAGATTTCTGTGTGGGCCTGTGCAGTTTCTCTCTCCTCTCTTCGAGCATAGACTTCCTTTCTGCTGAGGAAATGGTCCTCTATACTATAGGCACCCTCAGGCCCTCAGAAGCTGTCAATCTCCTGTGAATGACTGGAGAGGCAAAGGCTGCAACAAGAGATCAGGAATCTTTGCAACTGGCAGTTTGGTGGGCAAAAGCTCATGAAGTCTGTGCTTACTAAGCGACAGGTACCACACAGGCCTCCCCCACAAAAAAAAAAAAAAAAAACAAAACAAAAACCCACAGCCCCAGGCCTGAGCAATTCATCAGGGATCCCTGGCAAGTGGGTAGCTGGTACCCAAGCCCAGGGTTACTTACCCTTCTCTACAAGCTGCCTCCAGCGTCGGGCCCACTCAGTGAGCTGCTGTGCATATGCCTTCTCAATGCGGGCCCGCTCGTGCAAACAGTTCATGAGGTCACCACATAGGCGGTGGCCATCATCGATCCGCTTCACAGTCCGCTTGTAGTTCCCAACCTGTGAGATAGAGCTATGCTGTGGGGCGGGCACTGAGGGTGGCTGTGTACTGACCCTCCTGCATGGCTAGCCTATCTCTGGGTTGCTACCGTATAAGCCAGTGGGGTCCCCTCATGTTCATCCCATCTCCCCAGACTGATGGTTACCATATGTCACCAGACGCCCCCACCCCCATTTTATTACCAAGAGGAGTAAGTCAGCAAACTGGAGCTTCTGTGTATACCACTCCAGGTCAGGTCCTGGAGCAGACACTAGCTGGAAGGTCAGGGAAGGAGGCAGGTGAGCAAGGCGGAGGGCTGAGGGAGGCCGGCACGTGTTCAGGCAGATGGAGCAGGGTTGGCTTCCCTGAGCAGGTAACATGTAACTAAATCCTCACCTGTTGGAGTATTACTACTTCCCAATGACATAGTTTAAGTATTTCCCTCCTACTGAGTGCCTACTATGCACCAGACACCATGATAGGTGTTTCATACACTGCCTAACCCCTTAAGCCGCAGAAAGTGTCCCCTACTTTACAGATGAGGAAACTGAGGCTTAGAGTAGCTGAGAACTGGCTAAGACTACACAGTCACCCTGGCTGGGCTGGAGCTTATGGCAGTTTGTAAAATACTTTTAGGTAGAACAGCCTAGATGGCAAAGCTCAGATTCTAACCCGATTCGTCAAGGACAAGCTTTGGCTACTCTTTTTCACACACAAAGAGAGAAGCTAGATTATCTAAATTAGACATAGCTATGAAAATACTTTCATATTCTGTGTGTGTGGTTATATGTACACACGTGCACATGGGGTTGGAGGTCAGAAGTCAATGTCATGCATCTTCTTTGATTGTTCTACTTTTGTTGTTCATTTTATTTTTTGAGACAAGGTCTTGATGAACTTGGAGCTCACTCGTAGATTTGGCTGTACTAGCTGGCCACCAAACCCAGAGAGCCTTCTGTCTTCACCTATGGCACCCAGTTGCAGGCATGTGCCATCACGCTCAGCTTTTCACGTGGATGCTACAGATCTGAATTCAGGTCACCATGCTTACATGCCACTACTGACTGAACTACCTTGAGCCTGCATCATCCCTCAAGCTATGGGCTTTGAAAGGCTACCAGAGCTAACAGGGGAGGGCCCCCGGGAAACAGCACAGAAGGACTGTATGTATTCTCATTAGCTTCCTATTATGGTCTTCAAAATTCTGAAGCCCTCTCAGGTTTTCTAGCAGTCTTTACCCACTGGGCTCTCCAGTACACTGTACAGTACACAGTACACTGTTCAGCCTGGAGGCCCTGAGGAAGGTGGGCCTGTGCCTGCTCTGCACAAGGGGCGGTCCTCTCTGCAGTGCGGCGGCACTTCCAAGTCTCTCTTCCAAGTCTCAGCACTTCCAAGTCAGTGCTGAGCTAACTAAGGGAGAAGAAGGGGTGCTGGAGATGACTGCAACAAGGAGAAAGGTAACACCTTGCAAGAGAATAAACATGAAGCTACTGCACACAGATGCTAGGAGTGAGAGATGGTGGCTACAACACTTAGAAACGCTGTCCCTGGGGCCACAGCTCCAGGTGGACTAAGGTAATGACATCCTCCGCAAGACCCAGAATCCTGCTGAACAGCAAAGACCCCTAGAAGACAGCCAGCCTGGGAACCCAGAGGCCCAGCATGGCTTTGCCACTTACCGGAGGGTAGAACTCTTGAACCCCACTATTAATCATACACCTTCCACAGAGCCCTTGCAGCCCAGGCAAAGCCTTACTTACTGTTTTACTGTTCTCCTCAGCAAGGCTGGCAGTTCAGCAGTAGAACTGGGACCTGATTGCTCAGTTTTCCTTTTCTTTACCACAAAAAGAAAACAACAGCAGCAACAAACAGTCTCCACAACACACACTTGGTTCTCTTCAAATGGAACTTTATGGTCTCTTTGACATTTACAGAAGAAGAAGAAAATAATAATAATACAACTGAGTACCACTGGGCTGATGGCCAGATGAAAAGAGTCAACTTGACTGAGTCTCGGTGGCCACATGGAAACACAGACACACAGTGTTCATCTGTCACAGCAGTGCTCAACTGAAGACCTGCTCACCTCTTCAATGGTCAAAGCTGAGAGCCAAAATTTCAGGAAAGGCAAGAACAGCTGCTAACAAGCTACAAACCATGCAGCCCAATGGCACACACAGCAGCTGTGGCCACACTCAAACAAGAACTCCTGAAACCTGAAGAATTGCCTCCCAGTCCCCAGTGCAAGAAGGCTGCCTCAGCAAGCAGACATTTCAGGCTGTCAGTGGGCCTGGAGGTGGCAGAGAAATCCGAACTGGTCCTGGGATTGCTTCTGGGGACAGACAGCCATATAGACGGGCATAGAGCAGAGGGGAAAAGGAGACAGCAAGTAACATGTTCCACCTCAAATACATTACTCAAATATAGCCACGGACTCAGGGAGAGCCTGTGGCCCTAGTGAGAATGAGCCAGATGAGACACTGCCAAGCTCATGTTCCCACCTGAGTTGCCTTGGTCCTGAGGTACTGAGGAAACTCCTACCCTGGACCTCCCAGAGAGGACCTCAGTTTCACAAGGAACCTGAACAGACAGTACTTCCTGAGACCCCAGAGAGGCTCAGCTGTCACAAGGCTGACCCCCACATGAGAGGAGGAGTGGAAGCTCTCTTGAGGCAGTGGTCCTGGATCTGTGCCCCAGACTGCCCTGCTCGCCTCTGGTTAGGCAAATGGCCACTACTGTCTCTGCCACAGGCAGGCTCACTTCTTGTATGCTGGTTCTGAGTACACCAGGCAACAAAAGCATGACAACGCACAAGGCATCAATGGCTTACAGCATGTAGGCCATTCTTCTTTTTCTAGGCCTCCACAGGCCTACCACAGCAGGCTTTCAATGAAAAACATGAGCAGTAAAACCACAGAGAGGCCAAAGAGCATGTAGGCCAGTACACCTCTGCAAGTTAAGGTGGCACTCTTTAAATAGCATTCCACGGGTTAAAGCTAGGTGAATGCATACCTGCTACCCTCCAAAAACTAAGGACTTCTGCTCAGAAACAGACATCCTGAACAACTGCAGACTATAAACACTGTCTCCTAACTGTTAAGTCTAAAACCAACAGAGGGTGCTGGAGAGATAGTTCAGCTGTCAGGAGCTCTTTCTTCCATTCTCAGGCTCACAACTGACTGTAACTCCAGCTCCAGAAGAATCCCCTCTGGCTTCTATGGGCACCTTCACTAAAGCACACATAGATGGCTAGCTAGCTACCTAATACACACAAGCAAAATATCTTTTTTAAAAACTGCAAGGGACTTCAATTTAAAATCTTACAAGTCCTAACCACCATGATGAGAAAGATGGGGCTGCTGCAAGGATAGATGGGAAAAGAACCACAATGGAGCACTCAGGAAGCTCTTTACAACAGAGACTAGCAAACCCAGAGAAGGGGTGGGGGGTAGAGGAATCTCAAGTGCAGGGTAGAGTGGGGAAAAGGCTCTTACAGGATAAAGTAGAAGAAAACAGACTTCTGTCAACAACCAGGATATTGAAGCCATTAGGCAGCAGTTCGCCTGTAGCTTTGGTCTGCTCAGGAATTTGGTTTCAGGCTATACCTTCAGGCAGATAGACTATTCCGTGGGATAACATGAAAGGTGTGGCACAGCAATGACCTAGAAGGCAGATGTGAGGCTCAGAGGAAACTCACCACAAACTAGGAAACTGCCTGTATAATGACAAATCTTGTACATGAAGCAGGGATAAAAAGCTTCAGGAGCACGACAATAAAATCTGCATCATCGGAAGGAAGGAGGCAAATGGGCATGAACAGGAAGTAGAGAGGTGCAGAATGGGCTCTGCACTGCCCAGACCATAGTACCTTGCCTGAGAAATGGCTCAGCCAGTCTTCCCCATGGATTCCTCCCTGGCCACATATGCCCTGGCGAGACCACCTGCCAGCACTTGCATCACCTGGCCCCCTCGGCTGCTGGAACTGACTTATCCAGCCTGGATCGTCACAGATGATACAGCTGGGGGTCACATTTGCCCTTGCAAACACGGCGCCCATAGCAACAGTTTCTCTGAGTCACCTCGGACACATTGGTCCGTAGCTGAACTAGATGCTCTTAGCAATAAGTATTGAGCATTACATCACAATAATGATTATGTTTTGCGAGGCAGGGAGTAACTGTCCCACTGTGACACCCCATCTCATGCACTCTTAGCAGGTAGGAATATTAGTGTTTCCATCTTACTGGAGAAGTCACTCATGAGCACACAGATAGAAAGAGACAGAGCCCACATGCCGTGGCTCCCTTGGGTCAATCAAAGGGGTAAAGAGCTGCAGGGCAGGGCCAGGCCCCAATCCTGCTTCCACTGTATCCCAATGCAGCTTCATCCCAGAACCCCAAAGCTGTATGATACTAAGACAACTTGCCAAAGTTAATAACCTTGATTTTATCCTTATAATGAAGGCTCAAGAACCTTATCTGGCCCCTCTCATCCCTGGAAGAGAACGGCATCTGTGCCACATTACTCAACAGAAGGCTGGCAATGTCCCTTCAGGCAAGTCCATGCTCTAGAACTCAAATGTTTGTCTCAACACTAATAAAGGATGCTGGAATCCGGAAATGAGCTGTCTACCACTACCACTAGTCAGCCAGCTCCAAATAGTCAGCCAGGCATTCCCAATTCTCGGCATCTGATGCTCTACAACTCCTTCTTGCCATCCACAAATAGTTAATAAACATCTGCTATGTGCCAAGGACTATGTAAGGCAAAGTGGTGTCGTAGTGAATAAACCATCACCACTGTAGCCTGATGTGACTTTATGAGGACTTTCCATAGGTCTGGAAAGAAAAACAAGGTGGTCAGAGCTGGCCTGGAGACATGAGGTAACAGAGGGAAGAACCTCAGGGTTCTGGAAGGCTTGGTGCAGGAAGCCATGGCCCACACAGCGTAAGCGATGCATAGCACCATTCCTCTGACACCTATCCTGCAGCTCAAGCCACCCTTGTGTGAATATATGCTA